ACGTTTTCAAAAAATAAAATTCCCGGAGTCCCATACTGTCTTACTTATGTGTTTACCTGGAGTTTACCTGGAGAGTTCCGGGGGTCAACGCCCCCGCGGCCCGGTCTGTGACCAGGCCTCCTGGTGGATCAGAGCCTGATCAACCAGGCTGTTGCTGCTGGCTGCACGCAAACTAACGTACGAGCCACAGCCCGGCTGGTCAGGAACCAACTTTAGGTGCTTGTCCAGTGCCAGCTTGAAGACTGCCAGGGGTCTGTTGGTAATCCCCCTTATGTATGCTGGGAGGCAGTTGAACAGTCTCGGGCCCCTGACACTTATTGTATGGTCTCTTAACGTGCTAGTGACACCCCTGCTTTTCATTGGGGGGAAGCTGCATCGTCTGCCAAGTCTGTTGCTTTCATAGTGAGTGATTTTCATGTGCAAGTTCGGTACTAGTCCCTCTAGGATTTTCCAGGTGTATATAATCATGTATCTCTCCCACCTGCGTTCCAGGGAATACAGTTTTAGGAACCTCAAGCGCTCCCAGTAATTGAGGTGTTTTATCTCCGTTATGCGTGCCGTGAAGGTTCTCTGTACATTTTCTAGGTCAGCAATTTCACTTGCCTTGAAAGGTGCTGTTAGTGTGCAGCAATATTCCAGCCTAGATAGAACAAGTGACCTGAAGAGTGTCATCATGGGCTTGGCCTCCCTAGTTTTGAAGGTTCTCATTATCCATCCTGTCATTTTTCTAGCAGATTTGATTGATACAATGTTATGGTCCTTGAAGGTGAGATCCTCCGACATGATCACTCCCAGGTCTTTGACGTTGGTGTTTCGCTCTATTTTGTGGCCAGAATTTGTTTTGTACTCTGATTTAGATTTAATTTCCTCATGTTTACCATATCTGAGTAATTGAAATTTCTCATCGTTGAACTTCATATTGTTTTCTGCAGCCCACTGAAAGATTTGGTTGATGTCTGCCTGGAGCCTTGCAGTGTCTGCAATGGAAGACACTGTCATGCAGATTCGGGTGTCATCTGCAAAGGAAGACATGGTGCTGTGGCTGACATCCTTGTCTATGTCGGATATGAGTATGAGGAACAAGATGGGAGCGAGTACTGTGCCTTGTGGAACAGAGCTTTTCACTGTAGCTGCCTCAGACTTTACTCTGTTGACGACTACTCTCTGTGTTCTGTTAGTGAGGAAATTATAGATCCATCGACCGACTTTTCCTGTTATTCCTTTAGCACGCATTTTGTGCGCTATTACGCCATGGTCACACTTGTCGAAGGCTTTTGCAAAGTCTGTATATATTACATCTGCATTCTTTTTGTCTTCTAGTGCATTTAGGACCTTGTCGTAGTGATCCAATAGTTGAGACAGACAGGAGCGACCTGTTCTAAACCCATGTTGCCCTGGGTTGTGTAACTGATGGGTTTCTAAATGGGTGGTGATCTTGCTTCTTAGGACCCTTTCAAAGATTTTTATGATATGGGATGTTAGTGCTATCGGTCTGTAGTTCTTTGCTGTTGCTTTGCTGTGGAGTGGGGCTATGTCTGTTGTTTTTAGTAACTGTGGGACGACCCCCGTGTCCATGCTCCCTCTCCATAGGATGGAAAAGGCTCGTGATAGGGGCTTCTTGCAGTTCTTGATGAACACGGAGTTCCATGAGTCTGGCCCTGGGGCAGAGTGCATGGGCATGTCATTTATCGCCTGTTCGAAGTCATTTGGCGTCAGGATAACATCGGACAGGCTTGTGTCTGTATATTGTAGCAATATATCAGTATACAACACATGGAGAATAATGGATGAGAAACAATGCAGTTTAGAAAAAAAAAAAAAAAAAGAAGAGTAGCTCCAATTCCTTGGATCAAGAGCTCTTCCCTGGCCTCAAGCACTTGCCTTGAAGGGTAAAAAATAAGGTACCGTGCCTTATATGCTCCATCTAGCACCATAAATCCAGGAATTTTACCTATTTTCCATCACTTGTTGGCCTGACGGGTATAATGTTTTATTGTAGGTATTAGATATTTTTTAACATATTGCTATGAAGGATCCCAGCGGAAATAAGTCATTCTGACTTTCTTGGATTATCCTAGATAATCTACACATATACTGCTATGTATGATAAGTTATATAACTGTATTTATGTGTACCTGAATAAACTTACTTAGGTATTATGTTCTAAATTTATATAAACTGGACCACGTTGGTTGTTTCTTTGTTGTTGGGTATATAAGGTCCACTGACAGCTTAACTCCTCAAGCTGTATTGACCCTTACTTCCAGGTGGATGTTGTAATAATAACATTTTTATTTTGACATCATACTTGGTTGTACAAAGGAATATAATAGTTGGGTGTACATGCCAAAAGTCACTTTGTATGCAGAGAATTTCGGGCAACCATACATAGTAACATATGTGTAAATTACCTAAGATGACCAAATAAGACAGTCAAAGTGACTTATTTCCATTGGGATTCTTGGGTTATTTCCATTTGGGTCCTTGTATGTTTATGCAAGTACAGGTACACATAATTACAATTATCATTTATAGTTTAGCGTATGTGTAAATTACCTAGGATAACTCAAAAACAGTATATGTGGAGTCAAAAAACGTTATCTATGGAGGCAAAGAAGGGAATGTATGAAAGTATAGTAGTGCCAACACTTTTATATGGGTGTGAAGCTTGGGTGGTAAATGCAGCAGCGAGGAGACGGTTGGAGGCAGTGGAGATGTCCTGTTTAAGGGCAATGTGTGGTGTAAATATTATGCAGAAAATTCGGAGTTTGGAAATTAGGAGAAGGTGTGGAGTTAATAAAAGTATTAGTCAGAGGGCAGAAGAGGGGTTGTTGAGGTGGTTTGGTCATTTAGAGAGAATAGATCAAAGTAGAATGACATGGAAAGCATATAAATCTATAGGGAAAGGAAGGCGAGGTAGGGGTCGTCCTCGAAAGGGTTGGAGAGAGGGGGTAAAGGAAGTTTTGTGGGCAAGGGGCTTGGACTTCCAGCAAGCGTGCATGAGCGTGTTAGATAGGAGTGAATGGAGACGAATGGTACTTGGGACCTGACGATCTGTTGGAGTGTGAGCAGGGTAATATTTAGTGAAGGGATTCAGGGAAACCGGTTATTTTCATATAGTCGGACTTGAGTCCTGGAAATGGGAAGTACAATGCCTGCACTTTAAAGGAGGGGTTTGGGATATTGGCAGTTTGGAGGGATATGTTGTGTATCCTTATATGTGTATGCTTCTAGACTGTTGTATTCTGAGCACCTCTGCAAAAACAGTGATAATGTGCGAGTGTGGTGAAAGTGTTGAATGATGATGAAAGTATTTTCTTTTTGGGGATTTTCTTTCTTTTTTGGGTCACCCTGCCTCGGTGGGAGACGGCCGACTTGTTGAAAAAAAAAAAAAAAAAAAAACAGTCAGACAATATTACTTATGTTCATTGTGGTCCTTGATCAACTTTTGCACTCCAGTCACAGGAAGAACATGGGATGCATAATTAACTAGTCACTCAGGTGGCATAACTAAACTAAATCAGAATTCTGCGTTGCATTTATTAAGAAAACAAGGTTTACTCTAGAAAGAGAAAGTAGAACAATGAGTTCCCAAGTAGGTCATGTAGATTAAAATAAATTTTGTTGCTCTAACAAAAAAAAAAAATACTACAAACCACACAGAACAAAATGTTGAGAATTATCATGAACCTGATCCATGGCATGTACATGAGGGTGAATTACAACAACTGGAATTGCTGAATGTTGCAGATAGCGTAAGCCAGTTGAAGGTCAATCATGTTTATAAAACTGGTCACAATCAATGTCCAGAATATCTTGTTGCAAATTTTGCCATGGTTAGGAACCCAAAAAAAGTATGGTACTAAGAAAAGTGAACATAATTTTATAGTATATACGAACATTTTTCTTCTAGGGAGGCTTGTCCGCACGTACAGCGCCGCTGGTGTAGTGGTATCATGCAAGATTCCCATTCTTGCGACCCGGGTTCGATTCCCGGGCGGCGCACTTATTTTCAAGGACCCCAATGGAAATAAGTCACTTCGTCTGACTCATTTGTGTTATCCTTTGTAATTTACACGTATGTTACCATTTATGATGATCATATTTATGTGAACCTGAATGGCTAAACGAGTGATTCGTTTAGCCATCAGGTCTGATGGCTAAAGATGTCGTTTCACACGGTGAGAGTCCGGGTTTGATTTCCAACGAGGGAAGAAACATTGGGTGTGTTTCTTTACACCGGTTGTCTATGTTCACCCAGCAGTAAAATAGGTACCTGGGTGTTAGTGGACTGGTGTGGGTCACATCCTGGGTGTTAGTGGACTGGTGTGGGTCACATCCTGGGTGTTAGTGGACTGGTGTGGGTCACATCCTGGGGACAAAACTGACATAATTTGCAGGAAATGCTCAACATAACAAGGTACTTTCTATATAGTAGTATGTCACTGATGTCAGCTATGGTCTGTATACCTTGTACATGTACTTGTATACCTTGTACATGTACTTGTATACCTTGTACATGTACTTGTATACCTTGTACATGTACTTGTATACCTTGTACATGTACTTGTATACCTTGTACATGTACTTGTATACCTTGTACATGTAACTTGTATACCTTGTACATGTACTTGTATACCTTGTACATGTACTTGTATACCTTGTACATGTACTTGTATACCTTGTACATGTACTTGTATACCTTGTACATGTACTTGTATACCTTGTACATGTACTTGTATACCTTGTACATGTACTGGTTATACCTTGTACATGTACTTGTATACCTTGTACATGTACTGGTATACCTTGTACATGTACTGGTATACCTTGTACATGTACTTGTATACCTTGTACATGTACTTGTATACCTTGTACATGTACTGGTATACCTTGTACATGTACTGGTAGTAATAAAGATATTATTACTATCCGGCTTAACAATCAGTCGGACTCGGAAAGCCGTCAAGCAGCTGTCTTAAGGCTCAGTAAAAGCCGGTTTCTGACTCAGTTTGAGTGTGTGTTGAGGGAAATATTACTTCCGTATCTCGTTTTTGGAGGAAAATTTCCTTTCTTTTCCATTCCTGCCCAGATGTGGGCAATATACATTTTTTTAAGGACTGGATGACTATGATAATGGTATACAATACATCGGAATGTGACCACCTCAGTACTACGTCTTTATGGACACAGGAACACATAACATATGTATTTTTATGTATTTAAAATACAACTTAGTTTGAATGGTTTAACTTTGTGTTGTCACAGGTTGGTCAAAATTTTGGGAAAATATTGTGTTGTGAATTGTAAGTAATGATCACTGTTGTGTTAAAACATTTCCAGCCAAGACAATAAGTTTATTTATGTACAGGTTCATGTATACAATTATAATATATAGTAACATATGTGTATATTACCCAGAATAACCCCCCCCCCCAAAAAAAAAAAGTCAGTAGGCCTTCAGCAGTGTTCCTTATGATTTAAGGTGATTTATTTCCATTATGGTTTGTAATTCGAAAGTTTTAAGCTATATTATTGTTGTTATTATTGCAATCAAGGCGGAGCGCTAAACCCGTAGGGATTATACAGCACATGTAAGGGGATGATGGAGGGTATTTAGGGTCAACTCTGATTATTATTATAATCAAGGGGAAGCGCTAAACCCGTAGGATTATACAGCGCCTGGGGGGGGATGTGGAAGGCATTCAGGCTTAATTCGGGGAACTGGAGCACAGATCCAATTCCCTAAATCAAGAGCCCCTCACCAACATCAAGGAACCTTCCTTGAGGGGTGAACTTGATTCTGTGACCTCTGATGAAGGACATCCTGGTTGCCATGGAAACCAAACTTAAGAGCTTCTCTAAGTCCAGAAATATATAAAAGTCTAGTGAGGTTCTTGTGTGATATTTATAATGTGGAGACAAAATATCCATGATGAAGGAAGTAACAAGAATATGGCAGAAGAATTACTACACCATATAGCAAGTTATAGACGGAAATATAATACATTGTATCCTCGAGGACCTGTCTTATTATTGATGCCTCATGACCACAATGATCACACTGTGAGGGTTTAGCGCTTTCTTTTGATTATAATAGTAATGACACTAAGTCAGTAAATAAGTAAGTTTATTTAGGTACAGGTACATAGAAATACAATTATCATATATAGTAACTTGTGTCAGTTACCAAGAACTGACTTTATTGATTGACTTACTTGATTTCAAATTTAAATTTATTTCTTTGCAAGTAGTACATTGAGATTATATTTTTACAATAATGGGTTGTAGTGTGAAGAGCCTCTATTATGTCTAGGCATTATGTGCTGACTTAATTTAATGGTTTACTTATCACTAAAGAAATTATCATAGTTGTACAGTAGTTCTATTAATTATAAGTGAATCTAATTTATACAGAATTGACTGACTGACCTGACTTACCAACCTGACGTGACTGACCAACTGACTTGACAGATCTGACTTGACTGACTGACTGACCGACCAACCTGAGAAAACTGACTGACAGACCTCACACAACTGACTGACATAATGCACTGACTGATAGATATATACTGAAAGTCATGTGTTTTAAAGACAATGTATTTGATTTTTTTCAACATCTTGTCAATTTTAAGCCCCAAAAATGAAGTCTTGGCTTTGCTGCTGCTATAGGGTGAAGGGCTCTTGATTCAATGACTTGGAGATGATTGCCATTTCCTTGGAACAAAATCTGCATACTGTATGACCAATTGAAAATATGATGTAAATGAATTAAATCTTCTACTAAAATATAATAAAAGTCCAGAGCTCAGTCATTGAATTTGTGAGTCCTTATCCTTGTGGGTTTAGTGCTTACTTCTCATTGTAATAATGATACAGAATTCTTATACTCTGTTGCATCCAAATATGTTAAATATAATAAATTTATGGACAGCTAAGTGAGTACAAATAGGAAGTATGTCTGTCTGGCTCTTAGCAGACAGAGGATCAAGCCTCCACCATGTTTTGCACTGAACAACCCACATGGGTTTAGCACTTATCATGCATAATTAAATTAAAATTAAATAAAAATATGATGATTACTATATGACCCAAGTTATGCTCCAAAACAATGCTTATTGTCCTGTGATCTCAAAATAAACTAGGCCATAACTCTTGACCCGTGTGTCAGACTGAGTTAAGATCTACAGATGAGCTCAGAACATAGGATAATATTCAATACCAAATTTGAAGAGTTTTGGAGATGGTAAGGTGTTAAGAGCTGGCTGTCTCCTCAGCTCCCCACGTGTGGGAAAAATTCATTGATAGTTTAAGTTAATATACTGTGATTATTACCAGTAACTAGTAAGTACAGGTTCATATAAATACATTGACACAAATTATCATACATAGTAACATATGTGTAAATTACCTAGGATAACCCCCCAAAAAAGTCAGTCAAATTGACTTATTTCCATTTGGATCCTGATTATTGAATGTAATACTTAGGTCATGTTGTAGGTGGGTGTGGTGAACCTTGTAGTGCCATCACTGGTGCCACACCCACAGTTGCTCACTCTTGAGGATGCTGCCCAAGTCCTCTCCGACCTCATCAACTATACTCCGCCCCATCCGCCACCCACTCTGGTACGTGCTCACCCAGTGCCTACTCTGGTTGGTACCCTAGGCCTACCCCAGCCTAACATCTATCCTGGTGCATGCTCACCTTTCTCCACTGCTCACTGTGAAACATACCCACCCTAACACACACAAACCCTGACACATACCCACAACTATTAAATAGAATGCTAAATGCAGTGAATAATATGACTTTTTAGACCTAATAAATACTGTTTGAAAAATATACAACTACATAGGCAATATGATTATATAGATATGGCATGGAGGTAATTGCTGTGTTGGTTTTAAAAAACATTTGAATGCACAAAGTATTAGTATTTTTAACCAATGGCAGACCTACATTTTTGGGGGGCCCTGAAGCTTGAACTACTATTGGGGTCACCTTTGCAACCCCTTCTCATACAATAGACCCCAAATTATTAAGCAATGTGGACTAAAGTGGCTTCTGAGGCCCTTCCGGGATTAGGGGCCCTGAAGCTTAAGCTTCATTAGTTTCATAGTAGCTCCACCCTTGTGTTTAAGTGTACTGAGTGTTAGCATGTACAAAAAGTGCAGTATTATTAGGTACACTTAAGTAAGAGTCCTTGTATTCATCCTAAATTCCAGAATTTACATGCAGTTTTATACTCACTATACACCCCATACTTCTCCTGTAGATGGTTGTAACAAACATACAGAGGCATATAATGGGCCCAGGAGCTGAGCTCCAACACATTTTTACCTAGGCAAGTTGCAGTAAATGCCTGTAATACAAGAACAATGGATTAAATTAGTAAATAATATATTCAAGATATACATAATTGTTACAAAATTAGTGACATTTACATCTACATTTCTTGAACATTTTTGAGGGACTTGTTGCTAATACTTTTTTATATTTTTTCATTAATAAACATAGTGTGGATGTTTGCACTTACTGTACATATACAAATTTATTTCTTTTCTGCAGTATCCAGGTAATGTAGTTTACATGTAATAAAATATTTTTAGGCACAAAAGAAGGCCACTAGCATGTGGCACATTTTGGGCAGTGTACTAGGTGCCATTGTATACAAATATACTAAATGAGAGTTTTTCAGCCAAGCAGAGTGCGGTCTCCAGCAGAGGTGGTGAGGACTCAGCAGGGTGGAGGAGCAGAGTGTGCCTTGGTGGTTGCTTCTGTGTTGCTGGGGGCAGGTTACAGGGCCCTGGTGGTGCAAGGGGCAGCATGGCCCTCACTTGTTGCTAGGGACACCTCCCACCTTCCCTGCCCTTATCTTCAGCAACAGCTTAGGGTAAAGTTTACTCTGAGTGGATATATACACTACAGTAACCTTATCTGTTGTACTTCTAGGTTGGGTTTGTTAGGAAACAGAACAAGTGTTTCCTGACAGGTGATGACCCACAGTTGGAGCTTTTGTTCATCTGACGTGGGCCTTCCACTACTGATAAGTGTCTCGTGCTTTATGTGATAGATGCTTTCCTGGCATGTGGTGCATAAAGTGGACTTATTATAACATGTGAAACATAGGGTTTTGTTCTAAGACTTTGCAAATTTGGCCTTACTTTATAAATGTTTACCTAAAAATTATGCTTTACTGCATATGCACCAAATGATAATACAAAATAAAGAAATGAATCTGGTTAAAAACTGAAAAAAAAAATTCAGATTTCTTATTTTAGCCAACAAATTACATAAGCATACCTGATAGGCGCCAAATGGCCATATTTATATCAAAATAAATGCAGCTGGTCATAAAAACAAATAAGAAACAATTAATGCTGCAAAGTTCAATCATAATCCTCTTCCCTTTCAGCCTCCTTCCTCCCTATACCACCATCCAGCCAGCTTGTCTTTGGCTGAAGTGCACATGTTATCAACCTGTGAATACATATCTTCATGCTATTTCCTCCCTTCATCCCTGGTCTTCGTTGTGTGTTGCTATAGCCCAAATTTATCTGACTATTGTCTATTTTCTTTTAATTTCAGCCAAGTCACTTAAATTAAAATCCAACCATAGGATTTCATTCAGAATAGGCTCATTGAATTTATTATGCCCAAATCTGATTGGTTTTCCTCAAATCTTTCTTATGAATATAATTATAAACGAGTTTAGAGGGATATTTGGAGAGATTTTTTAAATATAAAATGTTGCCAGGCTTGAATGATTGCATTAGAGCAAAAAGCATACAGCAACCACCCGCTCTTATCATACAAGATCAAATTTTAGTACTGGTAGTTTACCTGGAGTTTACCTGGAGAGAGTTCCGGGGGTCAACGCCCCCGCGGTCCGGTCTGTGACCAGGCCTCCTGGTGGATCAGAGCCTGATCAACCAGGCTGTTGCTGCTGGCTGCACGCAAACCAACGTACGAGCCACAGCCCGGCTGATCAGGAACTGACTTAAGGTGCTTGTCCAGTGCCAGCTTGAAGACTGCCAGGGGTCTGTTGGTAATCCCCCTTATGTGTGCTGGGAGGCAGTTGAACAGTCTCGGGCCCCTGACACTTACTGTATGGTCTCTTAACGTGCTAGTGACACCCCTGCTTTTCATTGGGGGGATGGTGCATCGTCTGCCAAGTCTTTTGCTTTCGTAGTGAGTGATTTTCGTGTGCAAGTTCGGTACTAGTCCCTCTAGGATTTTCCAGGTGTATATAATCATGTATCTCTCCCTCCTGCGTTCCAGGGAATACAGGTTTAGGAACCTCAAGCGCTCCCAATAATTGAGGTGTTTTATCTCTGTTATGCGCGCCGTGAAAGTTCTCTGTACATTTTCTAGGTCGGCAATTTCACCTGCCTTGAAAGGTGCTGTTAGTGTGCAGCAATATTCCAGCCTAGATAGAACAAGTGACCTGAAGAGTGTCATCATGGGCTTGGCCTCCCTAGTTTTGAAGGTTCTCATTATCCATCCTGTCATTTTTCTAGCAGATGCGATTGATACAATGTTATGGTCCTTGAAGGTGAGATCCTCCAACATGATCACTCCCAGGTCTTTGACGTTGGTGTTTCGCTCTATTTTGTGGCCAGAATTTGTTTTGTACTCTGATGAAGATTTAATTTCCTCATGTTTACCATATCTGAGTAATTGAAATTTCTCACCGTTGAACTTCATATTGTTTTCTGCAGCCCACTGAAAGATTTGGTTGATGTCCGCCTGGAGCTTTGCAGTGTCTGCAATGGAAGACACTGTCATGCAGATTCGGGTGTCATCTGCAAAGGAAGACACGGTGCTGTGGCTGACATCCTTGTCTATGTCGGATATGAGGATGAGGAACAAGATGGGAGCGAGTACTGTGCCTTGTGGAACAGAGCTTTTCACCGTAGCTGCCTCGGACTTTACTCTGTTGACGACTACTCTCTGTGTTCTGTTAGTGAGGAAATTATAGATCCATCGACCGACTTTTCCTGTTATTCCTTTAGCATGCATTTTGTGCGCTATTACGCCATGGTCACACTTGTCGAAGGCTTTTGCAAAGTCTGTATATATTACATCTGCATTCTTTTTGTCTTCTAGTGCATTTAGGACCTTGTTGTAGTGATCCAATAGTTGAGACAGACAGGAGCGACCTGTTCTAAACCCATGTTGCCCTGGGTTGTGTAACTGATGGGTTTCTAGATGGGTGGTGATCTTGCTTCTTAGAACCCTTTCAAAGATTTTTATGATATGGGATGTTAGTGCTATTGGTCTGTAGTTCTTTGCTGTTGCTTTACTGCCCCCTTTGTGGAGTGGGGCTATGTCTGTTGTTTTTAGTAACTGTGGGACGACCCCCGTGTCCATGCTCCCTCTCCATAGGATGGAAAAGGCTCGTGATAGGGGCTTCTTGCAGTTCTTGATGAACACAGAGTTCCATGAGTCTGGCCCTGGGGCAGAGTGCATGGGCATGTCATTTATCGCCTGTTCGAAGTCATTTGGCGTCAGGATAACATCGGATAGGCTTGTGTTAATCAAATTTTGTGGCTCTCTCATAAAAAATTCATTTTGATCTTCGACTCTCAGTCTGGTTAGCGGCTTGCTAAAAACTGAGTCATATTGGGACTTGAGTAGCTCACTCATTTCCTTGCTGTCATCTGTGTAGGACCCATCTTGTTTAAGTAGGGGCCCAATACTGGACGTTGTTCTCGATTTTGATTTGGCATAGGAGAAGAAATACTTTGGGTTTCTTTCGATTTCATTTATGGCTTTTAGTTCTTCCCGCGATTCCTGACTCCTAAAGGATTCTTTTAGCGTAAGTTCGATGCTTGCTATTTCTCTGACCAGTGTCTCCCTACGCATTTCAGATATATTGACCTCTTTTAGCTGCTCTGTTATTCTTTTCCGTCGCCTGTAAAGGGAGCGCCTGTCTCTTTCTATTTTACATCTACTCCTCCTTTTTCTTAGAGGAATAAGCCTTGTGCATACATCGAGTGCCACCGAGTTAATCTGTTCTAGGCATAAGTTGGGGTCTGTGTTGCTTAGTATATCTTCCCAGCTTATATCGGTTAGGACTTGGTTTACTTGGTCCCACTTTATGTTTTTGTTATTGAAGTTGAATTTGGTGAATGCTCCCTCGTGACTAGTCTCATTATGTCGGTCTGGGGCTCCGCGCATACATGACTGAATCTCAATTATGTTGTGATCTGAGTATATTGTTTTTGATATAGTGACATTTCTTATCAGATCATCATTGTTAGTGAAGATGAGGTCTAGTGTATTCTCCAGTCTAGTAGGCTCTATTATTTGCTGGTTTAAATTGAATTTTGTGCAGAGATTTAAAAGCTCGCGTGAGTGTGAGTTTTCATCAGAGCTGCCTCCTGGTGTTATTACTGCAACAATATTATTTGCTATATTCCTCCATTTTAGGTGCCTTAAGTTGAAATCCCCCAGGAGCAAGATGTTGGGTGCAGGAGCTGGAAGATTTTCCAGACAGTGGTCAATTTTTAACAGCTGTTCCTGGAATTGCTGGGATGTTGCATCCGGAGGCTTGTAGACTACCACAATGACTAGGTTTTGGTTCTCGACCTTTACTGCTAAAACTTCCACTACATCATTTGAGGCATTTAGCAGTTCTGTGCAAACAAGTGACTCTGCAATGTACAGGCCAACCCCCCCCCTTTTGCCTGTTCACTCTGTCACATCTGTATGAGGTTGCTGCAATGTAAGCAAATTCCCACAAAACGAACCAAAATAAAGTGGTGGATACCTGTACATGCACACCCAGATGTGTACTCACCTATTTGTACTCACCTATTTGTGGTTGCAGGGGTCGATTCACAGCTCCTGGCCCCGCCTCTTCGCTGACTGCTACTAGGTCCTCTCTCTCCCTGCCCCATGAGCTCTATCATACCTCGCCTTAAAACTATGTATGGTTCCCGCCTCCACTACGTCACTTTCTAGGCTATTCCATGGCCTAACTACTCTATGACTGAAGAAATACTTCCTAACATCCCTTTGATTCATCTGAGTCTTCAACTTCCAATTGTGACCTCTTGTGTCTGTGTCCCTTCTCTGGAACATCCCGTCTTTGTCCACCTTGTCTATTCCGCGCAGTATTTTATATGTCGTTATCATGTCTCCCCTGACCCTCCTGTCCTCCAGTGTCGTCAGGCCGATTTCCCTCAACCTATCTTTGTAGGACAATCCCCATAGCTCTGGGACTAGTCTTGTTGCAAACCTTTGCACTTTCTCTAATTTCTTGACGTGCTTGACTAGGTGTGGATTCCAAACTGGTGCTGCATACTCCAGTATGGGCCTGACGTAAATGGTATACAGAGTCTTAAACGAATCCTTACTGAGGTGTGTGTGTGTGTGTATTTATGCATACAGCAGTATTATAAAAATACTCTTTCAATGTAGGGTTACCTAAGTGACTGTTTGTTCTGAGTAATTTTTAATATTATTTACAAGCTCAATATTGTCTCACCAGAAAAATACACATGTGTTGATCAGTGTGTCATATAACCTTACAGGAGGGTGAGAAGCAGGAAGCAGCGATGGCTTCCAAATACAGTGTACGTGCCCCCCCAGACCTGAGGAGTCAGTACCTGCTCATCATGGAGGAACGAGCCAAGCGGCGACGAACTGCCCACCTCCAACAAAAGCACGATCACACCCATACCTCTGCCACCCATGAGCAAGTGAGGGCACCCACACTTTGGTTTAGGGATACTTATGCCTTGTCAGTACTATATTAATGATACAATATACATATAAATTACTGTTTTTTAAGACTGCAGATGCTGTGTTATAATATACAACCAGGTCTTAACTTATGAGTCTGAATAGTGCAAATTTAAATCATGCACAAAAATTACATATAATTAAAATAATATGAGCTTGGATAATGCGATTACTTCACCGGATTCGTTATTCACACTAAACGATACCTAGCTGTATATCATATATACGGCTTCTCGAATTATGTTCTGGTGAACCCATCATAAGTTGAAACTATCTTAAGTTGAATATGAATATATGATATGATAAATAAACAAGTAAATAAATAACTACTGTCACTGAATAAGTAAACAAATAATTATTGTAACTAAATACGAATATTGAAAAGTGAGCGTGTTTGATAGGAGTGAATGGAGACAAATGGTTTTTAATACTTGACGTGCTGTTGGAGTGTGAGCAAAGTAACATTTATGAAGGGATTCAGGGAAACCGGCAGGCCGGACTTGAGTCCTGGAGATGGGAAGTACAGTGCCTGCACTCTGAAGGAGGGGTGTTAATGTTGCAGTTTAAAAACTGTAGTGTAAAGCACCCTTCTGGCAAGACAGTGATGGAGTGAATGATGGTGAAAGTTTTTCTTTTTTGGGCCACCCTGCCTTGGTGGGAATCGGCCAGTGTGATAATAAAAAAAAAAAAAAAAAATAAATGAATGCAAGTTTATCCTGTTAATAAATGTACAGTACTGTACAGTATGAGAAAAAAGTTTTACAGTACCATCAAACCATCATAATGTTGAAATATCATAAACTGAACCACTGTTAAGTGAGGAGCATCTGTATTATATTGTATACTGCATTTTGAAAATAAAATTCGCTTGTTTTGTTTGTTGTTTGTTACATTGAGGAGTGGCAGACAGGCAGTGGTGGGGGTGAGACATCAAGTCACCTTCACTTCTGGGTGGTGGTTCTGCCTCCCGGGCATCATGTGACCAAACCCACGTTTGTGGAGCCTACTACAGGGCAGGTAGTTCCCCTGGGTCCTCCGTACCTCCACATCCACGCAGTGTTCGACCACACTAACTACTGGGCTTGCACTAAGTATGACCAACCCATCTCCTCAGACATGGTGAGTTGATATGCCATGCCTGGTGTTGATGTAGCAATCATTTCAGTTTTAGAAACAAGTCACAGAATGAGTGGTATTTGAACCCATGGCAAGTGAGTCCTAAGACTCACTTGCCATGGGTTTATACCTCACCCATTCCATGGTTTGTTTGCAATTGTGTTTTATGATTTCATGAGTCATTTCAGTTTTAGGTTTGTCATTTACTGGTTTTATACTCTTCTAATTGCTGAATCTGTTTTTTATTTGGTAATTTATTCTTATCAACATAGTGCTTTGTGAATTGAGGAAATCTGCATGGAGATAGAAACAGTGTAGGAAGAGGCTGTAAGTTTCTGTCTACATCTAAGATCTTTAGAAGAAAATCTCACAGATGAAAATATGTAAACCACAGAACATTATTATTATTATAATCAAGGGGGAAGCGCTAAACCCGTAGGATTATACAGCGCATGTGGGGGGATGGAAGGTATTCAGGTTCAATTCAGGGAACCGGAGCACAGATCCAATTCCCTAGATCAAGAGCCCCTCACCTACGTCAAGGAACCTCCCTTGAGGGGTAAACCACAGAACAGGTGGGGTTTAAACCCATGACAAGCAGAGTCCTAAAACTCCAGGCCAGTGCATAAACCACTCGGCTTACGTGGTTTATTTGCAATCATGTTATTAAGCTTTTGTGAATTAATATGTACTCTGTGTACACTGATTTTCTGCCTCCATGCAGCAAATTCATCAGTTGATCAACAAAGTGTCCAATACATTTTGATACTTCATCATAGTTCTTTGTATTTGTTTATTGACTGAAATAGATTCATCTGTCTGAATTAAACTTTAACATATCACCATTAAGATAATAACTGCACTCAGAAATACTCAGCACACTATCCCCACCCGTGGTATGGTTTGTTCCTGTTGCATTATTTAAATTTTTTTGTTCTTTATAATATTTATAACTTAATACTTAAAGATACTGTATGTGGTATGTCTGCTGCATTTTAGGTGATATTTTGTAAGTAAGAAGTATATAGTTTGATTTATCAGACCGAAATGTATGGATGGCACTCATAGAAGATGGTGAAAGTGACTCTCATCCACCACATCAACTATCACCTTCCTCCCCGCACCATGAAGTAGGCAGCGACCCACTGCAACCATCATCTGCCCACCAGTCATTATCACCAGCTGCCCACCATTACCCACCCCCAGCACAATCTTGTGAGGGGCCGGTGCCCTCAGGTCAGGGCACCACCTCACTTGCAGTAACTCAAGCTCATAGGGACACCAAGAAGACCCTCAAGGTGCCAAGGATGTATATGCCCATTACCATCACCGAAGAAAGTGAGTTTATACACCTAGTGATTGTCACCATCACAGTGAAGGTGAGGGTATACACCTGACCACCATCATACACAGTGATCATAGGCATATGAGGTTTTACTTTACTGGGATGCTAGACGATATTTACCGTATTTCACGGCTTATAAGTCTTGTTTTAGTTTCAATGGCTCAGCATCGGATGTAACTGGGAGAGCTACAGTGAAGGGAGCTATAGCTATAGCTCCCTTCACTGACCTTCAGTTTATAGGACGCAGGGTGGTTTTTGGAGACATTTTATGGAAAAAAAATGTGTCTAATAAGCCACAAAATACGGCACCTTGGTTTCTATATAAGCCCTAGATGCTCCTCAACTTTCAATGGGGTTATGTTCCAATGAATCAGTTTTAAGTTGAAAATATCTTAAGTCAAATGTGAATATATAATAAATAAGTAAATAAATAACTACTGTCACTGAATAAGTAAGTAAACAAATAATTACTGTATCTAAGTCGCAGACAAAAAACGTTATCTATGGAGGCAAAGAAAGGAGTGTATGAAAATATAGTAGTACCAACACTCTTATATGGGTGTGAAGCTTGGGTTGTAAATGCTGCAGCGAGGAGGTGGTTGGAGGCAGTGGAGATGTCCTGTCTAAGGGCAATGTGTGGTGTAAATATTATGCAGAAAATTCGGAGTGTGGAAATTAGGAGAAGGTGTAAAGTTAATAAAAGTATTAGTCAGAGGGCTGAAGAGGGGTTGTTGAGGTGGTTTGGTCATTTAGACAGAATGGATCAAAGTAGAATGACATGGAGAGCATATAAATCTGTAAGGGAAGGAAGGTGGGGTAGGGGTCGTCCTCGAAAAGGTTGGAGGGAGGGGGTAAAGGAGGTTTTGTGGATGAGGGGCTTGGACTTCCAGCAAGAGTGCGTGAGCGTGTTAGATAGGAGTGAATGGAGGCGAATGGTATTTGGGACCTGATGATCTGTTGGAGTGTGAGCAGGGTAATATTTAGTGAAGGGATTCAGGGAAAACAGTTAATTTTATATAGCCGGACTTGAGTCCTGGAAATGGGAAGTACAATGCCTGCACTTTAAAGGAGGGGTTTGGGATATTGGCAGTTTGGAGGGATATGTTGTGTATCTTTATAAGTATATGGTTCTAAACTGTTGTATTCTGAGCACCTCTGCAAAAACAGTGATTATGTGTGAGTGAGGTGATAGTGTTGAATGATGATGAAAGTATTTTCTTTTTGGGGATTTTCTTTCTTTTTGGGTCACCCTGCCTCGGTGGGAGACGGCCGACTTGTTAAAAAAAAAAAAAATAAATAAATAAAAAAACTGTACAGTGCAAGTAAAAGTTTTACAGTTTTACTGAAATATCTTAAGTCAAACCATTTTAAAACAGGGAGCATTTGTAGTTGGTTTAATATCTTTATTATGCACCTGATAGGCATCCTGTGGGAGGTAGTCAAAAGCTTACAGAGGCACATAATGGGTCCAGGGACTGGACCACAAAGTTCTAGTAACTAAACAGTATGAGTAACTAACATATGGTTGGAAGATGTTAAATTTCATAGTCCCAGGTAGGCTGCAGCCCTCCCCAGACCCCCCTCACCTCCTGCTTCATGAATGGTGATGTAATACATAACTTTCTGACCACCCTCATATATGTCTGGGTTGTATAAAGTTTTTATTTATGTGGTACAAAGCTAATGTAGGTTGCATGTAATCAAGCAGTGGTAGGCACAAAAGAAAGCCACTAATATGCAATACATTTTGGGTAAACTATGGCACATATGGGTTTAGCACTTCCATATAAATATAATAAAAATAATACCATAGAGGCAAGCCCTGCTTTACAGTGCTTTACTTTACAGAATTTCACTTATACAGCAGTTTTCAGTGATTCCCACTCTTCATTTATTGAAACTTCCTACAGTACATATGTTCACCACTCACTTTAAGCTAAGAATGAAAATATTTTAAAGTAATGTGTGTATTCTGTATATGCATTTTTTAGGCCTAGCTATATTGCTCACTTAATATATGATAGTGTACTGTATTACTACTATGTCTACTTTTGCTATGTTACTACTACTACAGTTACTGTTACTATACTGCTGCTAATACTAGAGTGCAGCTCCTACTGCTACTGTACTGGTACTGTTATTACAGTGAGGTTATTGTGTGTTTTAGTGCTGGAGGAGAGGTTTCCAGGTGGGTGGCAGGAAGAGGTTTACTGTGGGGTGGTAGTGCGACGCTACTCTGCCTTTTCCCACCCCCGGGGTGCCACCCTCATCCTCACCCTCTGCTCCAACACTGGTGAGTCTTGCGCTATCTGCTTCAACACTGGTGAATCTTACAGTTTACAGGTAATATATTGTTAGGCACAGTCCAGCAGAGTCCACTAACTTCATTTCAGACACCTTCAGTGATCTGACTTGCTTACTTTCTCTGCCCTTAATGATGGTCCCACCTTTAATAAGAACTTACTCTTATTTTCTGACTGAACACCAATTTCCTACATCGCTCTGACCCCCATATTTTATACCAGAGTTCTTTCTTAGATACCTCTACCTATTCCCATTCACCCTCTTTTGTTAAGCTTTGCATTGCAAGGCTTCGGCCTTATATGGTTCATGGATAAAATAATAATGGGAAGATCTCTTAGCAGGGTCATCTCAGGAGGTACAGGAGAAATTTGAGCAACGTGGCGATGGTCTGTTGAGCCGCATGACCAGTCTCCTCCAGGGGGCCGTCCACGAAACCTTTGCCAACACTAGAAAGGACACACTCAAGCGTATGTGTAACCCATAGCTACGTAAAAAAAATCACCCCTTGCTAATCTTCATCCTGGATGTTAATGTTCAAAAATGCTCTGTCCTCTCTAATAAGCTTATTCTAAGACAGAATCTCACTTTACTTTCCTAACTGATGCTTCCAGACTGTAACATCCCCACCATCCTTCAGAGTTCAGGAACTGTACTTCCCACTTCTCAGATAAATTATGTTTTAAAAAGATTCTTGTTTCGTGGGGTCATTGTAGGACCTTAATTCCCTTGATGAACATAGGGTAGAGGCACACTTGCATGTTCTATTTGTTATGCCTAAATTTGTTGTTTATAAACCTTAAATGTCCTTATAAATAAGCAAATAATAATTATTGCCATTGTAGTCTTAAGTTTAAGCTTGCCTGAAATGCTCTACATAACTATGGGCTTTCTGCATGTACAACCAAATGTCATCCATCTCTGTACAAACATTATATTATGTGTAATATGTGTGAACGATGGTGAAAGTGTTTCTTTTTTGGGTCACCCTGCCTTGGTGGGAGATGGGTTATTTTGACTTTGTGGGGTTATTTTGACTTTGTGTATAAATGTGTGGGCAGGTCACAAGTACTGGCGGGCTCCTGGTCTTCTAATGGCTCGGTCTGGGTCTGATGGTATGAATAATCCAGCACAGGCAGGCCAAGGTGATGATCGTAACCAGTCACCTCAAGACGAGGTCTTCGAGTTCCACTCAAAGTTCAGAGTGGACGCTCTCAGGCAAGTTGAGGTTCTTTTGTGATTCATGTAAACTTTAAGATCTTTTTGGTTGTTCAGCAGTGTATATACTTACAGCCAAAGATTCATATATATGGATCTGTGCAAACCAGTGTGAAAAATAGTGAACTTCCAAGTGTTTTTGTGACTTCTCACATAAACAAGGACCTTTTTTTCACAGTAGTTATTTTACATATTGTGATATCACCTGTTTACTGTGATATTATTGCAGACAGTCTACTGCTCTAAAACGAAAATCACTAAAGTGAATCGTAGCCTTTTTTTTACTTTCAAATGCATATAAAAGCCTAATAACATGTTTACGCTATCATATATTGAGTGATTGGTATAGCTAAGCCTAAAATATGCTTATAGAGTACTCACATTACTTACCTTAAAATATTTTCATCCTTAGCTTATAGTGATTTATAGGAAGTCTGAATAAATGAAGAATGGATATACATGTAATTGAGAACCGCTGTACATATTAGCGAAAAGCTGTAAAATGAAGTACTGCAAAGTGAGGCCTTCCTGTACTTTTACAGGACTCGAGTAATTGGCAAAACAGTTTGGAGGGAGGAATTTGATGACCGTCCAGATCTTCTCATGGCCCGGACCATCACCTTCAGTAATGCTGACCCTAGTCCACCCAGACCCATTCAGGTAAGACTGTCATTTCACCATGCCCCTTTAATGTGACTTCAAATTCAAATTCAGATTTTTATTTCTTTTTATGCTGTGTAAAGATAATATAGTTTACACATAATAAAACATTATTAGGCACAAGAAAGTCACTAGTATGCAAATGCATTTGGGGCAAACAAATCCTAATGCTTGAAGACTACTTAAGAATTAGACATAGACTATTAAGTAGGATTATTAATGAGTATTAACAGCAAAAAATAACAAAAGCTGCTGTTTTCAATATCTTTGCCTTGGTATTTTTTTTCTTATTATAGTACGTATACTGTTCTCCATAACATTTTTGAATTATTGTACAATTATCAGTGAAAGTAATGGTGCTGTGCAAGGGATGTCTACAAATTTTAGACACAATTCAAAAGTTTTAGACAAGAACCAATTATGATCAAACCCACATTCGTTGAGAAGTCTCTTTTACGCTTATCCTGCCATAAGGATCGTTTATTTATTTTGTTAACACATCGGCCATCTCCCACCAAGGCAGGGTAGCCCAAAAAAGAAAACTTTCACCATCATTCACTCCATCACTCTCTTGCCAGAAGTGTGCTTACACTATAGTTATAAAACTGCAACACAACACCCCTCCTTCAGAGTGCAGGCACTGTACTTCCCATCTCCAGGCTCAAGTCCAGCCCATCATACTGTACATAATTTTTTCAAGTATTCTGTAGTAAACTCAATGGTCAGAAAATAATATCTGTGTATTTTTTGGTAGATTATTGAAGAGGAGTTTGGGTGTCCAGATGGGGAGGAGCCTCACAAGGCAGTGCAGCGGCGAGTGTTCGAAATAAGCGAAGGCAAGATCCTGCTGGTGTACCACTACGGTCACCACCGCCTCCTGCAGCCCACCAGGTCCTTCCTCAAGCCCCAGAGTGGCAGGCCCACAGATCTCACATCAGAGATGACCCAGGGATTCCAGGTCTCCTGATTCACTACTAATTCTGCTTATTATATTTTGTAATGCCTGCTTCCATGAACTTGCTAACTGTACACATCTTGCAGTGATGGAAGAACCCTTCAGCTTTTTATCACATTGGATTTCTTCAATGGTGTTGCCTTGATACTGCTGTAAGATTCTTGACTGTAATGAAGGGTTCTTGGCTGTAATGAAGGGTTCTTAACTGTAATGAAGGGTTGTTGATTATAGTACTTCTCTTTTCCCAGGCATTGTATGACACCTATGAGTTTAGTACTTCCTGGTAAATATAACAGTTTTACTAACCAAATTGACTATTTTCCCATCAAGGTGACTCAAAGTAGTTAACAATGATTATCACTCATTCAGTAACTGTCTTGCAGAAGCACTTGGACATAACAGTTTAGATGAACCTCCAACCTTCAACATTCTCATCCCTTCTTCAGAGTGCAGGCACTATACTTGCCACTTCCAGGACTTAAGTTCAGCTAACCTGTTTCCCTGAATTCTTTTATATATGTTACCCTGTCAATCCATAAAAACCACTTGTCTCCACTCACTCATATCTCTGATCATTCACACAGGTCTGTTGGATGTTCAAGCCTCTAACACTCAAAACTTTTCTTCCCTCCAACCCTTCCTGTGTGTACCTTCATAATACAGCATACTGTATTGATTTACAGTACAGTATTTGTTTTATTTGTGGTGGTGCGACAGCCTGACCCAAGCGTGGAGGAACCAGGTATGCCCGAGCTATGGGAAGTGTTGGAGTCGGAGATGGAGGCAGAGGTGCAGGTGCAGGAGGAGGTGCGAAGGGCAGTGGAGGAGACAGCAGCCATCAGAGAGGCCAGGACTGCAGAGGAGCACCACATAGTCCTCCTTCCACACATCTTTGACATCCGCAGGAATGAAACAGTCCAGTACATATTAAAACAGGTAACGTGTGTGTATTGTGGCTGTCCCTCTTGCAATAATCTGTCACTCTCTCTCTAGCACCTTCTATTATCAACCATTTTTTTTAATGTACCTGCCATCTCCCAGGTAAAAGAAAAGAAAAACAGAAGGTTTTCTTTTTAGATTTCATAATTTATACAGGAGAAGGGGTTACTATTCCTTTGCTCCTGGCATTTTAGCCACCTCTTATGACATGCATGGCTTACAGAGGTAGGATTCTTTTCCACTTCTCCATGGAGTTGTACATAGATGTTTCCAAGAATGAATGACATGACTTTTAAGCAATGAATTATTAAAGTTGTTAATGTTTTTGATACTGTTTATGTCTTTATGGAAGGTGAGAGTGTGTGTGTCGAGTGGAAAGAGTTTAACAAAGGTTACACATATAGTATGTTTTGCAGCGGCAGTACGAGGAGGCTCACCGGGAGGAGATGCAGAGGAAACGTCAGGAGGAGCGGGAGGGTCGTGTTGACACCATTGCTCCCTACCTACCCCTTTTATTGGTCAGTCACTCCATCAGTCTCTTGTCTTTGCCTCTCTTCCTCCATATTGTAAGTTATTGCTAGTGATAAGATATGTTTGGATTTTTAACCTGGGGTAGAGAGGGTTAGCCACTCAGGATGACCCAAGAAAGTCAATGTGTCATTGAAGACTGTCTTATTTCCATTGTGGTCCTTCAGTCTTGTCCCCCAGGATGTGATCTACAACAGTTGATTAAGATCCAGGTATCTACTTGCTGCAAGGTGAACAGGGACAGCAGGTGTAAGGTGACTCACACCCATGTACCTACTTACTGTTAGGTGAACAGGGACAGCAGGTGTAAGGTGACTAACACCCAGGTACCTACTTACTGTTAGGTGAACAGGGACAGCAGGTGTAAGGTGACTCACACCCATGTACCTACTTACTGTTAGGTGAACAGGGACAGCAGGTGTAAGGTGACTAACACCCAGGTACCTACTTACTGCTAGGTGAACAGGGACAGCAGGTGTAAGAAACATGCCCAAACAAGACATTACTCTCACCACACACTGTGCTCTCTCAGTAACTGAAAGAGATCATAGGCAATAAATTATACAGTAGAGTACAACTCAAGACTTGGCTAACTTGTGAGTGTACAACTCGAAGATACAGTACCAAGGGAATAATGTGTGATTTTTTTCCAATACTTCATATCTTTGGATTTTTTTCTTTTCCATATAGCCTGGAATGTATGTAATAGTTTAGATTGCTGTATATAGATAAAGACACTTATGTACAGTTGAGAACATTTCCTTTAATAAATATCCTGAACTGTAAACAAGAATCTTGAGCCAGTGTATGTCAGTATGCTGAACAATTCTTTCATCTTATATTGTCCGTGTTTTTGTCTATCATTCCTTCATCTCATGTACCTAGCTTCATCCCTAATATATCACTAATTGGAATTTTTTATTGAATTACTGAATCCCTCCCACATAATAATAACTAAGTATTCTCATTCTCATATACTAGTAATCATAATTTAGTTTTAAGGTTGCCTGAAATACCTTGCATAATAAGGGGCTTTCTATGAGTAGCAATTATTTTTTAACACACCAGTCATGTCCCACTGAGGGAGGGTGACCTGAAAGAATGAAGTTTTTCTTCCTTTTACATTTAGTAATTTATACAGGAGAAGGGGTTACTAGCACCTAGCTCTTGGCTAGTTGCCTCTTATGACACACATAGCTTATGGAGGAAGGATTCTTCTCTACTTCTCCATGGAGAATAAAGTAGTTTATGTATGTCAATTACTCTAATGGTATAATATACTGTACTGCACTTCATAGAAATAAAGTTTGTTTATTTTTTTACTATTTATAACTGTTCATGGTATTTTAGGGTGACAGTGAGGGTGACAGAGGAGAAATTGTAAGAGAAAGATGCCTTCAAGACCTACGTGAGCGCCTCGCCCTCAGAGCCAACCTTCTTCAGGATAGACTTGACCAGGTAATTGCTGTACTTTGGCTATCTCCATCACCAGTACTTTGGGCCAGTAAAGGGCTCTTAATACAAGAATCAGAGCTACTGTTCCCTTCTTTGGGTCAAACTTGATTACCTCCTATGATCTCCATTAATATAATTTTAATCCCTCACCATAGTCCTAACCCAGTTCATCATGAAAGATGGTATTTGGGTTGGTAGACAGCAACTTGCCCTGTGACTAAATCTTGCCCTGTGACTAAAACAGTAGCCTGTTGAATGTTTCAAACTCGGGCAGGAGTATTGATCAGGTCTTTCTGTTTTGTAAACATGTAAGATGGCAGTAAATCCTACAAACCTCTACTGACATTCAGTGTACGCTTATTTTGATACACTTGCCATGGGTTCAGATCCCACCCTTTCTGTGGTTTAGTATACACTTATTTGTAATTTCCAGTGTATTTCTTAACACAGTAGCTCTTCTTTCAACAACCTGGCCATATCGCACAGAGGCAGGGTGGCCCAAAAAGAAAAACAAGAGTTTCTCTTTTCAACTTTAGTAATTTATACAGGTGAAGGGGTTACTAGCCCCTTGCTCTCGGCATGTTAGTCGCCTCTTATGACACGCATGGTTTGCAGAGGAAGAATTCTGTTCCACTTCCCATGGAGATAAGAGGAAATAAACAAGAAGAAGAACTAGTAAGAAAAGCCCAGAGGGGTGTGTGTATATATGCTTGTACGTGCATGTGTAGTGTGACCTAAGTGTAAGTAGAAGTAGCAAGATGTACCTGAAATTTTGCATGTTTATGAGATAGAAAAAGGACACCAGCAGTCCTGCCATCATATAAAACAATTACAGGTTTCTGTTTTATACTCTTGGCAGGATGGTAGTGCCTCCTTGGGTGGTTGCTGTCTACCAACCTACTACCTAGGACAGTAGTTCTTATTCCTGTAATATTTCTTGTCATTTTTCAAAATGCTGCATTCTCTGTTTTCAAATCTTGAATACTGTGTCTTTGAGCCTAATTACAGTTGCGACCTAAGTCACTATAATAGTATTTTTTTTACCCACTGAAGGCCCGAGCATTGGTGTTGGAGTGTCGTGAAGAGGGAAGCCGCCGTAAGCGTCTCACCGCTGAAGAACGTGCAGCCCTCTCTGCCCGCACCACAGCAGCCGAGGCCGCACACCGTCGCCTGCGGGCCCAGCTGGCTGCCTGGAGGCACGAAGCCTCAGAAAGATATGAGACACTGGCAGGCAAGCTGGAGAGTAATCTCTGGCTAACACAAAAGCCGGCCCTCCCTCCTAACAGCACCCTCCAGTAATAAAAGCCATTAGTGCCTTTCATAATAGACCAAGATAAACATGTACAGTACTATATAAATATAGAAATAAAGCAGCACTAAACCTTGATATTTCAGAGATTTACAATAATAATGTCTAAGTTTAACTGGGGAAGGAGAGATAGGGAAATAGAAGACATTAAAAATAAATAAAACTTTTTCAAAAATAATGTATATTTCTGTCCTTCACACAAGAAAATACTAAATAGGATACAGCTAATAAAGAAATTACATTAAATTATAAATGAATGAATTGTTTTTTAATTTATAAATTTAATGTTACAACATCTAACACTGCATGACCCATTCTGGTTTAATGCTTCACATAAATCATTAGTTTGTCTGAAGTGCACCACATGTAAGTGGCTTTCTTTTGTGCCTAACAATGTTTTATTATATCTAAACTACATTACGTGTATACTGCAGAAAAGAAAGTATTTGTATTTGTATTTAAATAAGTAATAATGAGACCTGCATCTAAGGCATGAAAGGAATTTTTTTTTTCAACCCACCGGGCATCTCCCACTGAGCCAGGGTGACTTAAAAAGAAAAACAAAAGTTTTTCTTTTAACATATAGTAGTACAGCCTCTCCTCACTTAGCGATGGAGTTCCATTCCTAAGACCTGCTGTATAGCCCTTGTGGCTTAGCGCTTTTTGATTATAATAATAATTCCTAAGACCACGTTGGTAAACTAATTCTTCACTAAGTGAGGAGCATACTAGAATGGTTATGAGTTTGTGTCAACCATCTTTGATATTGTTTTAATATTACCTTTGCACCATTTATAACATTTCTGGTATATTTTTAAATGTTTATACAGTAGTGTACTATATATTGAAATAAACAGAATAGAAGAAATATACATTATTTAGGTATGAATACTGATCAGAGCCCATTGTAAGTCCAAGGCGTCGGTAAACGAGTACGTCGCTAAGTGAGGAGAGGCTGTATATACAGGAGAAGGGGTTACTAGCCCCTTGCTTCCAGTATTTTAAATCACCTCTTATGACACACATGGTTTACAGGAGAAGGATTCTTTTCCAGTGACAAGTATACCATCATTAATTTATATTTTGCTAAAATCTGGCTGAAAATTTTCATTCTAATTATCAGAATATGTGTGTTTATATGTGTGGGATTTTCTTTCTTTTTTTTTTGGGTCACCCTGCCTCGGTGGGAGAGGCGACGTTGAAAAAACAAAAAAAAAAAAAAAGTGTGTTTATAATACAAATGGTTTTTAATACTTGACGTGCTGTTGGAGTGTGAGAAAGGTAACATTTATGAAGGGATTCAGGGAAATCAGCAGGCCAGACTTGAGTCCTAGAGATGGGAAATACAGTGACTGCACTCTGAAGGACGGGTGTTAATGTTGCAGTTTTATAACTGTAAAGTACCCCTCTGGCAAGACAGTGATGGAGTGAATGATAATGAAAGTTTTTCTTTTTCGGGCCACCCTGCCTTGGTAGGAATCAGCCGATGTGTTAATAAATACAAAAAATGTGTTATTATGTGCCACTGAATTATTCTATGTACGTATAACTATACGTCAAAATTTGTACATTACAAATTCATCAAAAAATGGGTGGGGCTTGAACCCATGGCAAGTCTCACCCATCCTTGTTTTGTTTGCAATCGTCTTATCACAATTTCATGAATCATGATTTCAAATTCATTTTTTAACACCAGCCATCTTAACAAAAAAGAGGAAGCACATCCACCATCATTCATTTATTGTCTTTCCTGAAGGATGCTAACATCACAGTAAGATGACTGATTGCTCTCATAGTATAAAGTAATACAAATATTGTCAGTGATTAGATAGGATGGTAGGGGAAGGAGAACAGTCAAATGGCTTCAGCAAGAAATCCAAATATTTCTCAAAGCCTTTTTGTCCACTTCTCTGAGGCTGTGGGCCCTACAGTTTGCACCAGAGGTGGACTCCATGTGCATATATACATTGTATATAGTGTATATACATTGTATTGTGTATATAGTGTATATACATTTTATTTATTTATTTATTTATTTAATAATTTGAACATACATACAGAGGTACAAAGAAATACAGGTAAGAGCAGCATGCCAAAGCCACTTGTATGCATAGCATTACGGGCTGGCTTAAAATTAACTTAAGATTAACTAAGCAATGATGTAATCAGTGATAAAACATTATTGTAAACAGATAACAATAAAGCACAAATGAGTATTACAAAGACAGGTCATATGGTTGCATGCATTGCTGTACATTCAGTAGAATGGAGTATTCTGTTAGGTAGTGTATTTAAAAAATAACAAAGTTAGATTGGGTCTTAGGTTTAACATTTATGTAATATAATTGTGAGAAACATTTAAGATATACAATTTATTTAAAGGTTCAGTTATTCAGTTTTATTTGGTTTTGGGTGAGTAGTGTCTTTGAGAAGAGACTTTGAATTTATAAACAGGTAGTGTTTCTTTTATATTTACAGGTAATGAATTCCAGATTTTAGGGCCTTTTATGTGCATTGAGTTTTTGCATAGTGTGAGATGGACACAAGGAACATCAGTGATCTGTCTTGTGTTATGGTCAAGTGTTCTGTTGAGGTTGGTAAGGAGATGTTTGAGGGGAGGGTTAATATCAGAGTTAAGTGTTCTATGTATGTAATAGGTGCAGTAATAAGTATGGATGTTTTGTATGGTGAGTAGGTTTAGTGTTTTGAATATTGGTGGAGTGTGCTGCCTGTAGTGAGAATTTGTTATCATTCTAACTGCAGCCTTTTGTTGGGTAATTAATGGTCTGAGATGGTTTATTGTTGTTGAGCCCCATGCACAAATTCCATAGGTGAGATAGGGGTAAATAAGAGTGATAAAGGGCCAGGAGGGCTGACTGTGGAACATAGTACCGTATCTTCGATAGTATGCCTACAGTCTTGGAAATTTTCTTAGAAATTTGTTGTATATGTGTATGAAATTTGAGTCTATTATCAAGGTGGATTCCTAAGAATTTTCCATCTGTTAGCTTTGTGATAGGTGATCCGTTTATCATTATGTTAAGAGGGACATCTGTAGCTCTGTTACCAAACTGAATGAAGTAGGTTTTGTCAATGTTTAGTGTAAGTTTGTTAGTCCTCATCCAGGTAGATATTTTCTGTAATTCGGTATTTACAGTATTGGCTAGCGTGACTTGGCTCGGGTGAGAGAAGACGTATGTAGTGTCATCTGCAAATAGTGAGTTTGAGTAATTGCGAAGCATTTGGTAGGTCATTTATGTATAGGAGAAAGAGAAGAGGGCCAAGGACACTTCCCTGTGGGACACCAACTGTAATTGGTTGTGCGGAAGTTTGCCCCATTTGTGTGCACATATTGGCTTCTGTTGCTGAGGTAAGACTTGCGGTAGTTGTGTATGTATAGTGTATATACATTGTACTTTGTATATATAGTGTATATACGTACAGTGTGTATACATTGTATATAGTGTATATACATATATTGTAGTGTATATATATTGTCTAGTGTATATACATTGTACAGTGTATATACGTACATTGTAAAGTGTATATACGTACATTGTAAATGTATATACGTACATTGTAAAGTGTATATACGTACATTGTAAAGTGTATATACATTATATATTGTATATACATTATATAATGCATATACAATGTATATACACTGAGATACGGTATACATATAGTAATATACGGTGTATATATCATATATGTACTACTGAACACCCAAAAAGTTCCGAGAGAACATGATTAAGTTTAATTAGGTACAGGTACACACAAGTACAATTATCATATATATTAACATGTCTATATTACTTAGAATAACCCAAAAAGGTCAGTCAAAGTGACTTATTTCCATTGGGGTCTTTGTTATTTCCATTGCGTTTTATTTAAAATGAATAATAAGAATTTGGTTAGTAAATCCCTTTAGGTCATCCTCTAGGCGCTGCATGACTTACGGGTTTAGGGCTTCTCCCTAAATAAAAATAATTAGAAATATGTAAATGTTCTGCCTAATCAAAGGCTTTCAATAATGCGTAAAATAAATGTCACCTAATTTTGTAACACGTCTACTTTTAGGGAATGTAGATTTATTTAGTTATTTATTTATTAAATATGTCATAAAAAATTATAAATAATGTAAATTAATATAAATGTTTTGTTTAATCACGAACTTTCAATAAAGCGTTAAAAGTTACTTTATTTTTTTCAACTTTTAAGAAATGTATATTTATTTGTTGATTACTAATGTAATTCAAAATTATTTAAGTATTAAATAATTTATAAATAATGTAAATTTATAAATAATGTAAATTTATAAATAATGTAAATTATTATAAATGTTTTATCAGGAACTTTCAATAAAGCGTTAAAAGTTACTTTATTTTTCAACAGGTTTACTTTTAAGAAATGTAGATTTATTTGTTGATTATTAATGTAATCCAAAATTATTTAAATATTAAAATTAGATTAGGATTCAAAGTTATTTTTTGTGTGAGAGATGAATGTGAAGATTCCTGTTGTTGTGTAGCAGACGACGGCTGAGCCTCAGCCTGGCGCTCTATTATGGCTTTATTGTGGTGTAATATTCCTGTAATGTGTTGTCATACAGTAGTGACACTGCTGACATTATTTCTCCTGCTACACCTCACTACTGCCATTAATGCCAAGGGTTGTACACCCCTTGATTCATGGACCTTTGATAAGGTGAGCCACACTCCCCTTGTTTATGGTCCTTGATTTCACTCCCCCTGACTTTGATTATAATTGTGGACGTCGACCCCTCAAGGGAGGTTCCTTGATGTTGGTGAGGGGCTCTTGATCTAGGGAATTGGGTCTGTGCTGCAGTTCCTTGAATCTAGTCTGAATACCTTCCATTCCCCCCCACACATGCGCTGTATAATACGGGTTTAGCGCTCCCCATGATTATAATAACGTGGACCTTGATCTTTAATGGACATTAGTTTATTTAGTACATTTACACAAGTTTAACTAATTACAATAATCTGACAGTGTAAATTACTGAAGATAAAAAGTCAGTGACATTTCCAATGATTCTAGAAAATTTTAATGCATCTAGAACATGTATTACACAGGAATTGTACGTGTCCTCCCCGTCCTTGGATCAAACCTGATTACTTTTCATCTGCACTATGATCCTTATAGGTTTAGTACTTCTGCCTAAAATACTTATGAAGGAATGTTCCCAGTAGACACTGTTGTCAGGCTCTTGATCCAAGAGCTTGGATCTGATGTCCCCTTCCTTGGATCAAACCTAATAACTAATGCTGCAGACACTGACTTCCATTGGTGTAGGTACCTTGATGTTAATGAGGGCTCTTGATCCAAGGAATTAACAACCCTCCCTCTGGATTAAATCTCTTCCTATTGCCCATGGCACACTATAATCCCTGAGAGTTTAGCGTTCTCCACAACATAAACTATAAAGTACTGAAATCCAAACTTTTTCATCCTTCAGATAGTCTCATTATTATGCACCTCATACCCATCCTGTGGTCGGTAAATGTTTTATTGAATGTAAAATCAATGAAAAATATTATTTGTATTATTAACCCAGATATTGTTGTTATTTGAGCATCTTCCCCAGAATACGACCCACAACGACAGTCTGCTAACACCTAGGTACTCTTACCTACTTAACAATAACAATTTTATATTAGCATGATACATGTTTGTAGAAAGGAGCGTAACAATTTGGTGAACATGCCAAAAGCCCCTTTATATGCAGAGCATTTTGGGCAAACTGAAGACTAACTTATGAGTAATAAGGCAATAAGGTTCTCACTTCACACACGGAGGGCCCGGGTTCAATTCCCGGCAGGGCAGAAACATTCTGACGCGTTTCCTTACACTTGTTGTCCTGTACACCTAGCAGCAAATAGGTACCTGGGTGTTAGTTGACTGGTGTGGGTTGCATCCTGGGGAACAAGATTGAAGACCCCAATGGAAGTAAGTCAGACAGTCCTTGATGACGCACTGACTTTCTTGGGTTATCATGGGTGGCTAACCCTCCGGTGTTAAAAAATCCGAAAGAAATCTTATCTTAACAGCAGGTGTAAGGACATATGCCAGTTCTGTCTTGTGTTGGATGACACTCTTTTGCTTCACATGCAAGCTTAATGTGCTACCACTTGAGCCATCAGCCGAAGAAAGTTGACACGTGACTTTTTTCCATACAAATGGACCCCTCAAGGAAGGTTCCTTGATGTTGGTGAGGGGCTCTTGATTTAGGGAATTGGATCTGTGCTCCAGTTCCCCAAATTAAGCCTGAATGCCTTCCACATATCCCCCCCCCAGGTGCTGTATAATCCTCCGGGTTTAGAGCTTCCCCTTGATTATAACAATAATCAGTGAAAATAAATTTTACTGATAAGCCATATTGATTGGTCTGGGTTATTCTTGGTTAATTTTTTTATTATTTGTTGCTTGTGTATGCTTAAAATCAGGTCAGTATGACCCTTGTGAGTTTAGTGCTTAGTTTTGGGTGTAATAATTAAAATTGTGTTTAATGGAAATATCATTGCAGAAGCAGAAATATGAAACAGAAGTGTGTAAAAGAAATATTTAACTGGAACACCCCTCAAGGGAGGTTCCATGATGCTGGTGAGGGGCTCTTGATCTAAGGAATTGGACCTGTGCTGCAATTTCTAAAAATGAGTCTGAATACCTTTCACTACCCTAGGTGCTGTATGACTCCTGTGGGTTTAGTGCTTTTCCTTGAATGAAATAAACATGAATAATGATCACTTATCTCTGTTGTCCATACTTGCATTATGTGAAGCAAAAGGATTCTTGCTCCAAGGAATTGGAATTACCCTCTCCTTCATTGGATCATCCTGATTACCCCAGGCACTTTATGATTCATTATCTAGAGCTCTTTCATGTACAGTGGACCCCCGGTTAACGATATTTTTTCACTCCAGAAGTAAGTTCAGGTGCCAGTACTGACCGAATTTGCTCCCATAAGGAATATTGTGAAGTAGATTAGTCCATTTCAGACCCCCAAACATACACGTACAAACGCACTTACATAAATACACTTACATAATTGGTCGCATTCGGAGGTGATCGTTATGCGGGGGGTCCACTGTACTTTACATTCTTGTGACTGGTACCTTAGTTTCTTGAATTAAGTCTGAATGCCTTAATCTTCCCTCCCCCCAATCCCAACTGGTGCTGTATAATCCCCATGGGTTTAGTGCCACACTATAATAATAATGTGACTGGCAACTCCTTAGTTTGATATCTTTATTATGTACCTCATACCTACCCTATATTCAGATTACAATATAACTGGTTTTTCTTTCTTTTATTTGACAGATTATTCCCAAGTTCCATGCTGCCATAGTAAAGTTTGACATAGCCTATCCCTATGGCAAGAAACACGAGGAATACACCAAACTGTCAGCAGCAGGAAGGGGATCACCGGAGCTTCTTGTGGCAGAAGTCGGAGTCAAAGATTATGGCGACATGGAAAATATGGATCTTGCTGAAAGATTTGGAGTGGTCAAGGAAGATTTTCCAAAAGTAAAGCTTTTCATCAGTGGTAAAGATGATCCCTTAGACTTTGAAGGGGAATTTAACGCTGAAGAACTGAAAAAATTTATTCGTCGTCATTCGGAAGTTTACATAGGTCTGGAAGGGTGCCTTGAAACATTTGACCGAATTGTTGATCGTTTTATGATCACCGAGAACCTGGTTGAGAAAAAAAAACTTCTTAGACAGGCAGAGGATGAATGGGACAAGCTGAAGAGCCCATCTGACCAACAAATTGCAGAAACTTATGTGAAAATAATGAGGAAGGTTCTTGAAAAAGGTGGAGAATTTATAGGTCTTGAGAAAAATCGCGTGGAAGGTCTTATGAATGGACGAATCACAAAGGAGAAAAAGGAAGAGATGCAAGGCAGGCTAAATATTCTTAAATCATTTTCTCGTGATGAATTGTGAGCAAGTAGATGCTGATCCTCTTATTGTTACTCATTTATAAATACACTAGCAAGAAAGTACTTAGGAAACCATTTACATGTATGTATTTGAAATATGGAAGAATCTAGGTTTTCAAAGTACGTACATAATAATCCATTTACTGTAACGTAAAAGATTTTTTACTTCATTTATTGTAGTAAGCTAGCTAAGTGTTGTCACTATTAATTAGAATTGAGTGGCATAATACTGTAGTAAAGTAATTTAATGGTCACTTTCACTGTACTGTTGACTCTTATGGGTTTAGTGCTTGGTTATGATTATAATAATAATCACTGTACTGTTGTTTTCAAATTAGCATTACCAGTATTTAAAATTTGTAATTCACTCTTTGAAAAATGAATTAGAGCTACATTTTCTTAAATTACATACTTAAATACAAAATGATTTTAGTGAATATTATTTTGGATGAAGGTGTTCCAATTTTCTAAATTTTCCTAATAAATTACTGTATTATAATTTTACAGGCCACTGAAAAATTGTTAGTGATGGCAGCTTGGAAGGATTTGTAGCAATAAAGTATTTTTATCACTATTCTGATAATTATGCAAAACCAGCTTTACTTCCTCTTACTGGTAAGTTGTTCAAAAGGTACTTGTCATCAAAGGCAAACTGCAGTAGTGCATAAGGTAACCATTTTGTAACCCTTTTGCATGTGTTTAGTATAATCAGGATGATGTATTGGTAATGTAAAATGAGTTATGCCTTATGCAGATGGAAAAACCTGTGTTTAAGATGGTGGTAGTGCAGATCCTCACTACAGAATACAAACCATGAATTGCCTCAGTGCAACTAGCTATGGTCCAAATTGGACCCAAACATCGTCATAAATCTCTCTCCTATGTGCAGTGTATTTATTTATTACTTCAATAACAAATGAATCTTGTGTTTTTCTTTTTGACAAATGGTCTTCTAACAGTGAAAGATAATGGTGTAACTGTAGCAATTACTTGGTAAAACAGTTGTCGCACAATGAAAGATAATGGTGGAACCATAGCAGTTACTTGGTAAAACAGTTGTCGCACAATGAAAGATAATGGTGTAACTGTAGCAATTACTTGGTAAAACAGTTGTCTCACAATGAAAGATAATGGTGGAACCATAGCAATTACTTGGTAAAACAGTTGTCGCACAATGAAAGATAATGGTGGAACCATAGCAGTTACTTGGTAAAACATTTGTCGCACATTATGTTCCTAATAGGCTGATCAAAATTTATATAATTTGTTCCCATCTTTGTTTATAAAGTACTGTATTTTGTGGTGCAGTTTACAAAGCACATTCCTCTTTCTTTCCACAAACTGGCCATATCTACAGATTAATATGGCACACAAAATAAAATACAGTATTCTCTCGAAATTTATTGTAACTATTTGTATCATCTAAAATGGGAATAAATCTAAAAATTTTGCATGCATTGTGTTTGTGAGTTTATTGTATAGAATATAGATTTGTAACTTTGCACCAAAATTTATTTAGTGACGTAAACTTGCTAGAACTAACATAGTCTTAATATAATTGGTCGTAATTGTACCAACTCTACCTTAGATCATATTAAATTTAGTTTGTATTATTTAATATTGTCTAGTTAATTTTGTTATCTGGCTGATTTTCAAGAATTATGCAACAAGAAATTTATAATGTCTAGTTTGGTATATGATCATTGCTTTATTAGTCAAGATCTCAAGTAGTGCCTATAAAGCACATTATATTTATACATGTATTCTGGTACACATACAGTGATGGCTCTAAACTGAATTAGAGGCAGCAGAGGTGATTATTTCTATACAAAACATAGGTGCATTTGATCCATAAACAACTGATGGAATTTAATTGCTGTAATTTCCAAATGCAATGAAAAAGTCTTTTATACCATTTCTTGGCATATTTCTACCACAAAATCTTAATCTACAACACAAGCAAGAAACATATACAAATCATAAATGCATTTGAGACAGAAACAATTGATAAAACATTTAAACATTATTCAGTATCTTTACTTACCAAGACCTCTTACATTTTAAACCTCGGTTATGACATCTTTGTTTGGAAGGATTTTCTATACTACATTCCATGTTTATATATTTATACATTTAAAAAATATCTTACTTGAATAAGGAATATTGATGGCTATTCACAACTTAATGAGAATAAAATTGTACATGTATATGCCTTTGCATGTTAAATTTGACCTATTGTACACTAAATTAACCTGGAGAAACCCAGAGAAACTTCCCTACTTAATCCTAACTCCCAGCTGCAAAGCCATGGCTGCATTTTTTAAACTTAAGTGTAGCCACAAATATATTAATTTTTATTTTTTTCTATTGACTTAGTTACCTTTAATGGGAAGGGGTATACTGATCATGAAAGGTCCTTGAAGCTTTCCTCATCCTTTAATGAACCTTGATTACCTCCAAATTCTTCTGAGTTTAGCATTTCCGCATGACTATAATAATAGGTCTGTACTGTAAAGGGTAACATCTCTTATCAGCAGCCTTAACTGTGTATAGAAACCAGTTCATAATTATTAGTTTAATAAGTTACATATATCTAAGTATCTTGAAATTTTTCCAAATATCTTTTGTATTATAAATGTTCCCCATGGATTCCAGTAAATCCTTGATACACCGGATTAATAGGGAAGAGTGGAAGGCTAATAATGGCACTTGTGGATAGAGAAGAGGTTGTTTTGCCATGATGGTAACAATAAGAAGCAGTTGTCCTAAGACATTTTGTTTCGTATTTCCAAGGTCCATTATATGAAGGTTCACTGTGTGTTGCAGTCCGTTTCCATATTATCTACGCCAGTAATACACAAGACCTGGTCATGGACTGGGCCACAGGGGCATTGACCCCCAGAACACACTGTACGCTCTTGCCTAGTAATGTATTGTAATCTGGGCCCCAACATCATCATCCAACCCATTTATTATATTCTCCATGTTTTATCTCCTCGCCAACATTTCTGCATATTCCCTGACTTTTTATATGAAACTTTAAGTCATTATTGGCATATCAAGATCTTTTAACTTAAGTAAAAGTTTGCCACAAGTGTTCTCTGGTGTACTGGTCTCAGCCTCACCCAAGTGTTCTCTGGTGTACTTGTCTCAGCCTCACCCAAGTGTTCTCTGGTGTACTCGTCTCAGCCTCACCAAGTGTTCTCTGTGTACTCGTCTCAGCCTCACCCAAGTGTTCTCTGGTGTACTCATCTCAGCCTCACCCAAGTGTTCTCTGGTGTAACTCGTCTCAGCCTCACCCAAGTGTTCTCTGGTGTACTCGTCTCAGCCTCACCCAAGTGTTCTCTGGTGTACTCGTCTCAGCCTCACGCAAGTGTTCTCTGGTGTACTCGTCTCAGCCTCACCCAAGTGTTCTCTGGTGTACTCGTCTCAGCCTCACCCAAGTGTTCTCTGGTGTACTCGTCTCAGCCTCACCCAAGTGTTCTCTGGTGTACTCGTCTCAGCCTCACCAAGTGTTCTCTGCTGTACTCGTCTCAGCCTCACCCAAGTGTTCTCTGCTGTACTCGTCTCAGCCTCACCCAAGTGTTCTCTGGTGTACTCGTCTCAGCCTCACCCAAGTGTTCTCTGCTGTACTCGTCTCAGCCTCACCCAAGTGTTCTCTGGTTGTACTCGTCTCAGCCTCACCCAAGTGTTCTCTGGTGTACTCGTCTCAGCCTCGCCCAAGTGTTCTCTGGTGTACTCGTCTCAGCCTCACCCAAGTGTTCTCTGCTGTACTCGTTCTCAGCCTCACCCAAGTGTTCTCTGCTGTACTCGTCTCAGCCTCACCCAAGTGTTCTCTGCTGTACTCGTCTCAGCCTCACCCAAGTGTTCTCTGGTGTACTCGTCTCAGCCTCACCCAAGTGTTCTCTGGTGTACTCGTCTCGGCCTCACCCAAGTGTTCTCTGGTGTACTCGTCTCAGCCTCACCCAAGTGTTCTCTGGTGTACTCGTCTCAGCTCACCCAAGTGTTCTCTGGTGTACTCGTCTCAGCCTCGCCCAAGTGTTCTCTGGTGTACTCGTCTCAGCCTCACCCAAGTGTTCTCTGCTGTACTCTCTCAGCCTTGCCCAAGTGTTTCTCTGGTGTACTCGTCTCAGCCTCACCCAAGTGTTCCTCTGGTGTACTCGTCTCAGCCTCGCCCAAGTGTTCTCTGCTGTACTCGTCTCAGCCTCACCCAAGTGTTTCTCTGGGTACTCGTCTCTCAGCCTCACCCAAGTGTTCTCTGGTGTACTCGTCTCAGCCTCACCCAAGTGTTCTCTGGTGTACTCGTCTCAGCCTCACCCAAGTGTTCTCTGGTGTACTCGTCTCAGCCTCACCCAAGTGTTCTCTGGTGTACTCGTCTCAGCCTCACCCAAGTGTTCTCTGCTGTACTTGTCTCAGCTTGCCCAAGTGTCTCTGGTGTACTCGTCTCAGCCTCACCCAAGTGTTCTCTGGTGTACTCGTCTCAGCCTCGCCCAAGTGTTCTCTGGTGTACTCGTCTCAGCCTCACCCAAGTGTTCTCTGCTGTACTCGTCTCAGCCTCGCCCAAGTGTTCTCTGGTGTACTCGTCTCAGCCTCGCCCAAGTGTTCTCTGGTGTACTCGTCTCGGGCCTCACCCAAGTTTTCTCTGGTGTACTCGTACTCAGCCTCACCCAAGTGTTCTCTGGTGTACTCGTCTCAGCCTCACCCAAGTGTTCTGCTGCTTACTCGTCTCAGCCTCACCAAGTGTTCTCTGCTGTACTCGTCTCAGCCTCACCCAAGTGTTCTCTGGTGTACTCGTCTCCAGCCTCACCCAAGTGTTCTCTGGTGTACTCGCTCAGCCTCGCCCAAGTGTTCTCTGCCTGTACTCGTCTCAGCCTCGCCCAAGTGTTCTCTGCTGTACTCGTCTCGGCCTCACCCAAGTGTTCTCTGCTGTACTCGTCTCAGCCTCACCCAAGTGTTCTCTGCTGTACTCGTCTCAGCCTCGCCCAAGTGTTCTCTGCTGTACTCGTCTCAGCCTCACCCAAGTTGTTCTCTGCTGTACTCGTCTCAGCCTCACCCAAGTGTTCTCTGCTGTTCTCGTCTCAGCCTCGCCCAAGTGTTCCTGGTGTACTCGTCTCAGCCTCACCCAAGTGTTCTCTGCTGTACTCGTCTCAGCCTCACCCAAGTGTTCTCTGCTGTACTCGTCTCAGCCTCACCCAAGTGTTCTCTGCTGTACTTGTCTCAGCCTCACCCAAGTGTTCTCTGCTGTACTCGTCTCAGCCTCACCCAAGTGTTCTCTGCTGTACTCGTCTCAGCCTCACGCAAGTGTTCTCTGGTGTACTCGTCTCAGCCTCACCCAAGTGTTCTCTGGTGTACTCGTTCTCAGCCTCACCCAAGTGTTCTCTGGTGTACTCGCTTCAGCCTCACCCAAGTGTTCTCTGGTGTACTCGTCTCAGCCTCACCCAAGTGTTCTCTGCTGTACTCGTCTCAGCCTCACCCAAGTGTTCTCTGCTGTACTCGTCTCAGCCTCACCCAAGTGTTCTCTGGTGTACTCGTCTCAGCCTCACCCAAGTGTTCTCTGCTGTACTCGTCTCAGCCTCACCCAAGTGTTCTCTGGTGTACTCGTCTCAGCCTCACCCAAGTGTTCTCTGGTGTACTCGTCTCAGCCTCGCCCAAGTGTTCTCTGGTGTACTCGTCTCAGCCTCACCCAAGTGTTCTCTGCTGTACTCGTCTCAGCCTCACCCAAGTGTTCTCTGCTGTACTCGTCTCAGCCTCACCCAAGTGTTCTCTGCTGTACTCGTCTCAGCCTCACCCAAGTGTTCTCTGGTGTACTCGTCTCAGCCTCACCCAAGTGTTCTCTGGTGTACTCGTCTCGGCCTCACCCAAGTGTTCTCTGGTGTACTCGTCTCAGCCTCACCCAAGTGTTCTCTGGTGTACTCGTCTCAGCCTCACCCAAGTGTTCTCTGGTGTACTCGTCTCAGCCTCGCCCAAGTGTTCTCTGGTGTACTCGTCTCAGCCTTGCCCAAGTGTTCTCTGGTGTACTCGTCTCAGCCTCACCCAAGTGTTCTCTGGTGTACTCGTCTCAGCCTCGCCCAAGTGTTCTCTGCTGTACTCGTCTCAGCCTCACCCAAGTGTTCTCTGGTGTACTCGTCTCAGCCTCACCCAAGTGTTCTCTGGTGTACTCGTCTCAGCCTCACCCAAGTGTTCTCTGGTGTACTCGTCTCAGCCTCACCCAAGTGTTCTCTGCTGTACTCGTCTCAGCCTCACCCAAGTGTTCTCTGGTGTACTCGTCTCAGCCTCACCCAAGTGTTCTCTGCTGTACTTGTCTCAGCCTTGCCCAAGTGTTCTCTGGTGTACTCGTCTCAGCCTCACCCAAGTGTTCTCTGGTGTACTCGTCTCAGCCTCGCCCAAGTGTTCTCTGGTGTACTCGTCTCAGCCTCACCCAAGTGTTCTCTGCTGTACTCGTCTCAGCCTCGCCCAAGTGTTCTCTGGTGTACTCATCTCAGCCTCGCCCAAGTGTTCTCTGGTGTACTCGTCTCAGCCTCACCCAAGTTTTCTCTGGTGTACTCGTCTCAGCCTCACCCAAGTGTTCTCTGGTGTACTCGTCTCAGCCTCACCCAAGTGTTCTCTGCTGTACTCGTCTCAGCCTCACCCAAGTGTTCTCTGCTGTACTCGTCTCAGCCTCACCCAAGTGTTCTCTGGTGTACTCGTCTCAGCCTCACCCAAGTGTTCTCTGGTGTACTCGTCTCAGCCTCGCCCAAGTGTTCTCTGCTGTACTCGTCTCAGCCTCGCCCAAGTGTTCTCTGCTGTACTCGTCTCGGCCTCACCCAAGTGTTTCCTGCTGTACTCGTCTCAGCCTCACCCAAGTGTTCTCTGCTGTACTCGTCTCAGCCTCGCCCAAGTGTTCTCTGCTGTACTCGTCTCAGCCTCACCCAAGTGTTCTCTGCTGTACTCGTCTCAGCCTCACCCAAGTGTTCTCTGCTGTTCTCGTCTCAGCCTCGCCCAAGTGTTCTCTGGTGTACTCGTCTCAGCCTCACCCAAGTGTTCTCTGCTGTACTCGTCTCAGCCTCACCCAAGTGTTCTCTGCTGTACTCGTCTCAGCCTCACCCAAGTGTTCTCTGCTGTACTTGTCTCAGCCTCACCCAAGTGTTCTCTGCTGTACTCTCGTCTCAGCCTCACCCAAGTGTTCTCTGCTGTACTCGTCTCAGCCTCACCCAAGTGTTCTCTGGTGTACTCG